ATCTACAATCAAAATGAGCAAGCAGAATAGAAACAGACTCATAGATACAAAGAAATTTTTGTTGGTTGCCAGATGGGAGGTAGTTGGGAGTTGGGCAAAAACGGTGAAAGGATTCAGAAGTATATATACCTTGTTAGACTGAAGAACCTCAAAGGGAAGCGGGGAGAGGGGAGGGAAGAGAGAAAGCAAAGAACTTATATGCATATATGCATAACTAATGAACACAGACAATAGTGTGGGGAAGGCATGAGGGGAGCAGGAGTGGGAAGGAGGGAGTGATGGGTGGAAAAAAGGGTGGTCATCTGTAATACATTCAACAACAAAGATAAGTTCAGCCACTCCCCCAAAAAAAGAATCCAAAAAATGAGAATAGTGTAAGGAGCCTCTGCATACCCACATTTGCATCATGAGGGTGTCAGAAGGAGAAGAGAGATTGCAAAAAATTGGAAACCTATTTTAAAAAATTATGATGGAAAACTATCCTAACCTGGTAAAGGAAATAGACATACAAGTCCAGGAAGCAGAGTGTCCCCAACAAGATAAAACCAAAGAGGCCCACAGATAATTAAAATAATTAAATAATTACAATGCCAAAGGTTATAGACAACGCATCTTAAAAGCAGCAAGAGAAAAGCAGTTAGTTACCTACAAAGAAGTTCCTATAAGACTGTCAGCTCGCCCTGGCTGGTTTGGCTCAGCGGTTAGAGCATCGGCATGCAGTCCCGAGAGACCCGGGTTCAGTTCCCGCTAAGGGCGTGTACCTCAGTTGCAGTTTGTCCCCGGCCCTGGTTGGTCATGCGGTAGCAGCCGCTCGATGTGTCCCTTTCATGTCGATGTTTCTCTCTTTCTCTCTGTTTCTCTCTCTCCCACTCTACCTGAACAAAAAAATGGAAAAATCCTCGGGTAAGGATTAAAAAAAAAAAAAAGACTGTCAGCTGATTTCTCAACAGAAACTTTGCAGGACAGAAGAAACACAAAATACTAAATTGAAAAGACATATACATTCATATGTTTGTTGCAGCATTATTTACAATAGCAAAGATATGAAAGGAACCTAAGTGTCCATCAATAGATGAATGGATAAAGAAGTTGGGCATATATACAATGGAATATGACTCAGCCATAAATAAGAATGAAGTCTTCCCATCTCTAACAAAATGAATGGACCTAGAGGATATTATGCTAAGTGAAATAAGTCAGACAGAGAAAGAAAAATGCTAGATGGTTTCACTTATATGTGGAATCTAAAAAACAAAATAAACAAACAAGCAGAACAGAAATAGACTCAGATACAGAGTACATTTTGACAGTTGCCAGATGGGAGAGGGGTTGGGGAGAATAGGTGAAAAAGGTGAAGGGATTTAGAAGTACAAATTAGTAGTTACAGAATACTTATGGAGATGTAAAATACAACATAGAGAATGTGGTCAACAACAGTGTAATAACTACATGTGTAATAACTACATATAGTGTCAGATGAGTACTAGATTACCAGGGTGATCACTTCGTATGTTATATAAATGTCTAATCACAGGATTGTACACCTGAAACTAATAGTGTATTAAAAAGAAAAAACAACAACATGGTTCTTGTAGAATCTACAGGTACAAACACTGGAAAGCATGAAACTTACAGTTCTGGGGTTTATTAGTAAGAATGTCTAAATAAATTAATCTGTTTAACCTTTATAATATTAGTATTACAGTTAAAGCTCCAAATCCAGACATATATAACGTTTACTGAAAACCACCCCCAACCCCCCACCCCTGCCTTTTTTCCCATCTAGCAGCAGGGGAACTTTCTGAGTCCTACAGAAGTATGAAAAGAGTGGGAGCCTTGAGATCAGAGTGGGTTCAAATCTGAGCCTGGACAGTTATTAGGTAGGTTACATTTAATAAATGATTTAACTATTTGAAACCTGTTTCTTCACTTTCAGCAGAGAATAGCAGTGGTAGCCTTTGGGTAGTTATAAAGAGAGGCAAAACAGCATAATGGTCGAGAACATGAGCCCTGAAAATAGACTATCCTGGTTTTGAATTCTGCCTGTGCCATTCACTAGCTGTGTGACCTCACCACATTTCTGAACCTCTCTGGGCTTGTTTCATTATACATAAAAGAGTGGTATCTTTATTACCTACCAAATAGGGTTATTGTGAGGATTTAATGAATTTTCCCGGTAGAGCAGAAGATGAAAGTAGAAAACAGCTGATGCGAGGGCGGCTGCTAACATGATAAAAGCTTAAAGTTTGCCATGATAAATTTTTTTAAAAGGTCAAGAGGATAAAATTATTTGTAAAATTGTTCAGTGTTATTAGAGATTTTGCCTTATGTGTTTTATAAGTCATTATGAGAATATCTTTCAGTGGGATACAGCAATACATGACTCTGCCATTCTCAAACTATAGTTTATGCAAATCATATGAATATTTCCTTGAAAACACTGCTGACAAGTTGACAATGTCAACCCTCATTAATTTTGCAGTAGGGAAGCTTTTGGTTAAACTTTCTGGACTTTGCTGTTGGATAACCCTGAGTAGCCACAGCTTCTAGTTTTCTGCCACATAAAATCTACAAATCGCTCAACAAAACACGGTTTACCTGCTAAGTCAGAAATAACTAATTTCCCACAAATAGAAGGAAAATTCCAATTTACTCAGTGAATCCTCCCCCATTAATGTTCCTGTCTGTAACATACCCTGTCCTTGGGTAACTGTGTTTATCACACGACAGTGTGAAGACTGTATCAGCGCCGCTCTCCCTACCTGCATACCTCATAAAGCAGGGTAACAGGAAGGCTTTGATATTGTTGGAGGCAAAGGACCAATTGCATTCCTGCAAGTATACTCTAACCATGGAGGACTTGACCTCTGCCCTCAGCGATATGGCATCAATGTGAAGAAGCACTATTTCACCTGAGCCACCCAACTTATATGTACGTGTGTGTCTGTGTCTGTGTGTGTGTACCACCATGTATATTTTCAAATAATACTTCTTTGACATCTATTTTTTAAATATAACAATTATCTATTTATATATGACATAACAGAGTAGTCATTACTCACTCTATTCTCTGTGCCAGCCCTTTTCTTTGTTATCTCCAAGTTGATTCAGTGCCCAAGGTCATGTTTCCTTGCACTCCATTCTGCAGAGAAAAAGGAAGCATGACCCCAAGAATAGGGTGAATGTGCAAGGCAAGGACCACAGAAATGGTTACTGGGCACCCAGAGTCCAAGGCCACACTTGGGAAAAGAGTAGCAGTCCTGGCAAAAGGAGAATGATTCTATTGTAACTGTCATCTGATCAGAACTGGGCAGGAGTCCAGGCAGAGTGGCCCCTGCTTCAGAAGACTGTAAATGGGAGTTAAACTCTCAGTATGAAACAGCGGCAAAGTTATCTGTCCAACTGTTTCTTTTGATAGACAAGGACACTGGAGTCCATGAAATGTTGCAGATGGACAGATTGCCCATCAGGGACAGAGCCAGGCTTCTCTCACTCAGTGCTCCTTTCTCAATATCTTATGTTTACATAATACAGATGGACTAAGACTTGAGAGTCACTAAAAATACAGCACTGGTTATTCTTTCTTTCCTGAGGAAAACAAATCATGGATCTGAAAATGCACCATTCTCAGGCATTATGTTTGACATTACACACATTTAGAAATATATATATTGTGATGACATTGCCATTAGAATGTTTGGCCTTGCGTTAGACACAACTTGTAACTGAGAATGAAAGGTTAAAATTCATCTAAAGAATCATCCATGCAGCCTCCTAATTTACCATCTTTGCTTAACCTCTCATCACACATAATTCCTCTTCCTTTTCCTGTAGCATTTATTTTCTTGTTTATACCTTTGCATGTGCTGCTTCCTCTGGCTCAAATCCTTTTTTCTCATACACCTATTCTTCAAATTACTAGGTTTCTCTGTGTCATTTCCCTTTTCCATTTCTGGTCCCATAGGGTTTTACATTTGCTACATTCTAGCATTTAATAGACTTTATTATATGAACGTGATCCTATCTCTCTTTAGTATTATCCCAAGCCTAACAGAGTGCTCAGCAACAGTGCTTCTTCCATGCTTTTACAGAATTAGATGAGATCAAAGCAAAGGAATGGTGAACACAGAATTCACTATGATAGTTACTGCCCATAGGAGGAGGCCTACTTTTGATTTGATGGTGAGTTTTGGGTCCTTATTACATATTTAAAAATAAATGAGTAAAAATTCTACATTACCAAGGTGTAGTAATTAGGGATTACTCACAGGAGGGAGAAGATTGGCCTAGTTGGTATCAATTACTCTACAAAGGTTGCTCTTTAACCTTAAACCTTCAGATGTCTGAAGATGAAATGGGTAACTAAAGGTCAATGCTCCTTTTCCTTTCCCTGGGCTTGATCTTTACATGGGCAATTTGGCATTTATTTCGGGGGTGAGCAGTTACTTTCTTTCCATTTTAGCAGAAACACTCATTATCCACAGGAGTAAAATAGTTCCTAGAGTTGGTTATTAGGTGACATAAATCAAGGGTGCTCACTTTGGGTCCCTTTATCACCACCACCAAAGAACAAGTATTAACTCAGCGCTGAGGTATGTACGAGCATCAAAGGCGGCGATTTAACAAGTCAACACTCCGTCCACATCTTACCTGGAGCCCGCGGCCTTTCGGAAGAATGGCCTGTAGGCAGCCAGACCCCAGAGCACTGACCGCCCCGCCCCGCTGCGACTCGGGGACCGAGCCCACGCTTCGCTGCTATGGGCCCCCCCCAACTCCAAGGCGGAAGGCGGCAGCCCGCTCCAGCTCACGTGGGTCCGGACGCCGCGCTCGGACGCTCGAATGCCGTCCCCGCGGCTTCCGCCAATGAGCTGAGCGGGCCGCGGGTCCCGCCCCGTCTGCGGTGACGTCACGGTCGTGCGCAGGGAGGCGGGGCCGCCTGGTCCTCCACCCCGGGAGGTCCGCTGACTGTCGGAGTGTCACTGCCGAGTCTTCGTCGGATCTACACGCCGTCAACGTCACTGCCCTTCACCTCTGCACCATGGCTTTCGTGACCAGGCAGTTTGTGCGCTCCGTGTCCTCTTCGTCCACGGCCTCAGCCTCGGCAAAGAAAATCATCGTCAAGCACGTGGCGGTCATCGGCGGCGGGCTGATGGGCGCCGGTATTGCCCAGGTGAGCCACCAGCGGCAACGCACTCGGCTCGCTTCGCTGCCCACCTGAGATGAGAGCATTGGCGGGCTGCGACTGGTCGGGTGACCCGCCGAGAAGCCGGGGTCCGCGGAAGACCCGGGAATTTCCACCTCGCTCCTCCCCCGTATAGTCGAAATGTCTCGTCCCTGGGCCTGTGCGCGCTTGTTCCCCAAAGATCTAGTGTCTTGGGGCCGAGCCTTAGTTTTCTACCCTAAATCCGAGCCGCCCGCAGGGCCCGATGAGGGCTGGGTGGAATGTGTTAGTGGATGCATTTGGAAATGGATCGTGCAGAGAGAAGATAGTATTGTGTGTCCAAGATTGAGACATAACGTGCTTGCTTGCTGCTTTGCTTCGAGAGACCTGAGATTTTTTAGATTTATAAAAACTTTGTAAGAGCAGTTTTCTGCTCCCCTAAAGGGTCTCCTTTCAGCCTCCCTTGTGTTTCCTTTGCTTGCTGGGTTACAAAGAATAGTAGTAGTCACCACTTTTGTATCACTTTGTAAAGTTACTTAATCAGAGCTTGAGTGACCCTATGAGTCCACCAAAGGTGGCACGAGGCAACTTTGACCTTTGACCCAGTGCCCTCTTTGCTGAGAACCGGGCTATTTAAGGGCTTGGAGAAAGTGGGAGGGGAACATAAAGGGGCTAAGGGCCTCAAATCTCAATGTGCATGTTCAAGACTGCCATGTCCCAGCCAAGTTGTGGCTCAAGGTCAGTGGTGCAATTGACTACCTGGATACTGTGATATTTGCATCTTATTTATTTTTTGTAAAGTCCAACTCAGCCTGGCGGGTGTGGCTCAGTGGTTGAGCATTGACCCTGCACCTAGAGGTCACCTGTTCGATTCATGCCCAGGTTGTGGGACCGATCTCCAGTGGGGTGCCAGTCGATGTTCTCTCTCATGGATGTTTCTATCTCTCTCCCTCTCCCTTCCTCTCTCTCTAAAATCAATAAAGAAAAAAAAATTTTTAAATAAAGTCCAGCTCATATTGGAGACCTTGATTTTCAGATCCTAGTTTATTCTTAACATTTCAGCCCTTTGCACCTTGTATTGTTGAAGGGGAGACCATTATCTACCTTTTCTTAGTGGAGTACTCAAATGCAGTGGCTACATTCATGAAAGAGTTTCTTTTTCAGTGAAATCCATATTTTCATGCTTGCTCTTTTAAAAATCTTTTGCTATTATTATACTTAATTTTCTTCTCCCTGCCAATTTTTTGCAACATATTTATTTGATTGCATTTTCTCCTAAAATCTGTATTTCATTAACATTTCATCCTTCTAACTTCTTAGTTTTCTCTTTCTTTCTTCTGAGATCATGTTTTTGGATACACATTGCCCTTTTTATTGTTGATATCTTGGCTGCTAGGTTATGGTGTCCCCTTAATCTGTGTTCTACATGAGATGTGAGGATTAAGTCTCTTTAACTTAAAAGTTCCAAACATTATACTACATTATAGGATACTCAAGAGAAAGTTTAGTTTGTGCACACTTGTATTCCCCTTCTCCACCAAAAATATCCCTTGGCTGTGAGAGTGATTTGTTGTGGGAAGGTATAAAATTATGTATTTGGCCCTAGCCGGTTTGGCTCAGTGGTTAGAGCGTTGGCCTGTGGTCCCGAGAGACCGGGGTTCGGTTCCCGCTAAGGGCATGTACCTCGGTTGCAGTTTGTCCCCAGCCCTGGTTGTGTCATGCAGATGGTAACCACTCAATTTGTCCCTTTCACATCGACATTTCTCTGTCTTCCTCCCTCTCTCTCCCACTCTTTCTGAACAAAAAAATGGAAAAATGTCCTCGAGTGAGGATAAAAAAAATAAATAGTGCATTTGTTTAAAACATTTAAACTAGTCCTGGCCCTTGTGGCTCAGCAGTTAGAGTGTCGGCCCGAAAACCAAAGGGTCACAGATTTGATTCCTTGGGTTGCAGGTTTGATATCTTATGGTACCTGGACAGGGTATATGAGAGAAGCAACCAATCAATGTGCCTCTTAGCAATGTTTCTCTCTCTCTCTCTCTCCCTCTTTCCCTTCCACTCTCTCTAAAAATCAATAGGAACAGTATTCTCCAGTGACTATTAACCAAAAACAACAACAACAACAAACACACATTTAAACAACGTCTTAAGGACAAGATATTATGGCCTTAAGCCTCCAATACCAATATAGGAAATGGATCCAGAGACTATTGTTAATGGTGCCTTGAAGACATCAGTGGAAGAGGATTAGACACCAAATAGAAAGCATTATTTCAGGTTGCTCAGTTCTTGGAATGCTGTTATTATTTGCTATCTGTTATTGGCCAGAAAAGGGTGTTATGTTGTACAATAAGGCCCAGAGGTAGCTCCTAAAATTATGGCTATGGTATTGGAGCTTTCATCTGAGAAAGGAGGGAGGAGATTGAGACTGATGGGAACACAGACTTGTGTATCAAATCCTTGAGTAGTTGGACCAGGGAGTGTTTTTTGAAACTTAAAGGGGAAAAAAGAGAGCTGTTTATCCCACAGGTTGGAAATATAATGGAACTATCATTCCAAAAGTTGAAATGGTGGACAGTCATAAGGAACAGTAAGTAGTTCCATTCTTTCAGAGCAAGGTTTATGAGTGCCTCGTCCACTTTAGATGACAGCTCTAATCCTGTGGAGGAGAACCGTGCTTTCCTGCAAAGCATCTATGTGCTACTTTCAGCCAGTAGGTTGGTAGGTTTCAGCAGTTTAGCTGATCCATTTTTGCACTCAACACTGAGTCATATGGTTTTAAGCAGTATTACTTCATTCTTCATGCTCCTTGACCTGCAGCTTTTGGTACAGGGTAAATCTGTTTTGCTTATTGAGCACTACAGACAGTAGTTGATGTGTTTGTAGATTGGCTCCAGTTCAATATGGGGAATTGGACGGCCTATATGCTGGCTCTGCTTCACATTGGCTGTGTTAACATGGGAACATTACTTAACCTCTGTGCCCTCTAATCTGTGACTAGGGCTAATACTAATACCAGCTTCACAGGAGGATCTAGACTCTATATTCTAGAGGATTGAATGAATTAGCCCATGTCAGGCACTTAGCACAGTGTCTAGCTCGTAATAGGAGCTCCCAAAGAGTTAGCTTTCTTTATGATTATTATCTTCATTGCAGTTATGCTTGTCATTTTGTCCTTCTCTCCTCATACTACTCCCATCTAGCATCTTTGCTGCTGAGGTAGGCCTGTAATGTTTAGATGGAGAAGATTGCTTGTGATTCTGTTCTATTTCACTTAATCTTGATGGCAAATGCCAGTTGACCTCTGAAAAGAGGGAAGGCATTTCTTGTCCTCCCCCTATTGTATTGTTAGTTCTCATAAAGCTCTTTTTCTTTTTAACTTTTCACCCGAGGACATGCCGAGAGAGAGAGAGAGAGAGAGAGAGAGAGAGAGAGAGAGAGAGAAAGGGAAAGGGAAAGAAACATCAATCAATTGGTTGCCTGGGCATGTGCCCTGACTGGGAATCTAACCGGCAGCCTTTCAGTCACAGGATGACACTCCAACCAACTGAGCCACTCTAGCCAGTCAGTCCTCATGAAGCTTTAAAAACAAGCACAGCCCTGGCCGGTTTGGCTCAGCGGTTAGAGCGTTGGCCTGCTAAGCGTCGGTTCCCGCTAAGGGCATGTACCTCGGTTGCAGTTTGTCCCTGGCCCTGGTTGGTCGTGCAGGTGGCAGCCACTCGACGTGTCCCTTTCATGTCGATGTTTCTCTCTCTCTCTCTCTCCCCCTCCCACTCTATCTGAGCAAAAAATGGAAAAATGTCTTCGGGTGAGGATTAAAAAAAAACAAACCACAAGCACAAACTAGCATCTGAGGTAGGCTACTAATTCACATTTAGCTTCACTCTCCTGAACTCTTTCTGAATTCGTTTTAATTTTAATCAAGGTGTAGTTCTGTTTAAAATCTTTTTTGTTTCCTTTTTATTGAATTTATTGGGGTGACACTGGTTAACAAAATTATATGGGTTTCTGGTGCACAATTCTAAACATGTCATCTGTACACTATATTGTGTGTTCACCCCAGGTCAAGTCTCTGTTCACCATTTATCCCCTCTATACCGTCCACCACTTCCCCCTCCCCACCCCCACCCCGGCAGACACCACACTGTTTTCCATGTTCATGATATATATATTTTTTTATTGTTTTTGCCATATGTTCCAGTTTATGCTGAGTAGGATGGAAAAAAATTAAGTAGATTTTGTGGGAGCCTGATACATTTCTTGACCAATTAAGCAATTTAAGACTAGTGCAGTCTGTGCTTAATTACAGTTGATCAGAACACAGGGCATTTATACATATCTGTTCTCCAAGAGTGTCTACTTTGCCTGTCATTTCTTTTGTTTATTTTAAATTTTAAAAAATTGCTTAGGCTGCAGGTTAATATTTAAGTAAGGTTAACTTGTTTTTTGTGTTTGCCCATTATACACTTCTGACTTGGTTCTGATTGCCAATTTGTTTTCAGCTGGATACTTGGGCTGGCAAAGAAGCTTACAGCATCAGATGACCCCTGAGTGGGGATCAGGTTGTTTTTTGCCTTGTAAAGGAGGAAAAAAGGGAAGAAGGATACTAACTGTGCTTTTCTTCAATTTATAGAATGAGTTCTTTCTAAGTTTTGTTTGTCCATTATCTTTCTTCATATAAGGGGCCCAGAGAGAGAGCTTGTAGCTTTCATTAAGAAACTGGTGAGGACTCGGTGAGCTCCTTGGGCATGGCATTTCAGAGGCCGAATTTCTCTGGGCTCTGGTTGATACAACCTTATTCTTAGTGCTCCACACTTCTTCGAGGAAGTGAAAAAGTTTGCATCTTTAAGCGGGAAAGGCTGGGTTCTTCTCACTTAAAGCTTTTTGGGAGGGGGTCCCCCTCTTAAGAAGCAAAAAGGGCACATTTCTGCGGAGAGCTCCTTAGGCTACCAAAACAAAAGAGGGGGCAACATTCTGAGCTACAGATGAAAGTTCCTGACATTTGTGAC